CAAAATCCATGTGTTCCCCAATAACTATTGAAATAATTTTTAAAAACCATTGCTCAAACAACCCCCATAAAAGGGTTATTGAGATTACAATGAGAATAAATAAACTTCCAATTAAAGCTGTAGAATTAGAGAATAGATAAGAGGCAAACAATAGAAAAACATATATTGGCTGAGAATGTGTCAATATTCATGAAAGAAAATCTAAATTCTCAGATTTGAGAATCATAACAAATCCCAAGCCAGTTAAAGATAAAAATACCCATCAGAAGATTTATCAGGCTATAGTTACTGAACCCCAAGGAGAGAGACTGATATGGTTTGACTGTGTTCCCAGACAAATCTCAACTTGAATTATAATTCCCATAATCCCCACATGTCATGGGAGGGACCCAGTGGAAGGTAATTGAATCATGGGGGTGGTTACCCTCATGCTGTTCTCATGATGGTGAGTGTGTCCTCACGAGATTTGATGGTTTTATAAGGGGCGTGCCCCCCTTTGCTCAGCACTTCTCCTTCCTGGCATCATGTGAAGAAGGACGTGTTTTGCTTCCCCTTCTGTCATGATTGTAAGTTTCCTGAGGCCTCCCCAGCTATGTGCAACTGTGAGTCAATTAAACCTTTTTCCTTTGTAAATTACCCAGTCTCGGGCAGTTCTTTATAGTAGTGTAAGAACAGACTAATACAGAGAGTAAATCTTAAACAGCAGAAAGAAAAGATATTCTCTACACAATGAGGACAAAAACAAACAGCATTTTTCTTAAAAAAACAATGCAAGTTAGAAGACAGAAAATAGAATTTCAAAAAACAAACAATTTAGGGACATGCACACACACATATATATACTTGGAGATATAAGATAACATTTACTGTATTTATGGAAAAATTTATAGAATAAATTGAATCATTACAAAAACTTAAAGAATATACATATTACATTGTTAAAAGTTTCCACAATAATCTATAAGTTTAATTTGGTGCAATTCCAATTTTTGTGCCGTTAGTGGTGGTCATATTGTTGGTGGTGGGGGTGGGGTGGTGTTAGTGAGTGTGTGTGTGTATGTGCATGCAACTAAAAAACATTTCCATTGCACTCCTGGACTAAAAGCAGAAAGCGGGAAAGTTGGCCAAGAAAAAAATCAAGGTTTATTAACAAGCTATAATAACAAATAATTTCTGGTATCAACAAATGAATAGATAGGTTCTCTAAAAGTTACAGAATAGAGAGTTCCAAAACAGAACCATGCATATATATATATGTAACATATATATCATCTGTATATATATGTAACATATATATCATCTGTATATATATGTTAGTATTATATATACATATTAGCATTATGTTCAGAATAATGGGTTTTTAGACAGCAACTTTTTAATATAATCCCTATTTCCTGCCATCCGAAAGTATATCCAGATTGACTAAAGTCAATACTTTTTAAATGAAAATTTCAAAATGTGAAAAAGTAGTAGAAGACTCTCTTCATGTACTTGAGATAGAAAATTATAAATAAAACCTACATCAATAAGAAATAAACAGTGAAATAGAAACAATTTTCAAAAGACATGAACAAACTATCCACAGAAACATACACAAATGGTTAGTAAACCTATGGAAGTATGCTAATGCCTCAGTTTTAAACAGGGAGTAAATGCTAGTGGAGGGAGATACATCTTCACACTAATTTTAATTTCAAAAATTAAAACCAATATCAAATGTTAGTAATGGCAAGGAGGAAGGAAACCTCAGATACACTACTGGAAATCTGCATGACTCGCTGGGGAACAATTTGCCAAAATCTAGGAAAGTTGAAGATGTAGAATTTTCTGCCAAGATATTTTACTTCTAATCACTTATCCTAAAGAAATGTTTATATAAACAAAGAAACCATACTAAAATATGTTCACCACAATGAAAAAAATTAGAAAAAAACCCTAAATGTTCATCAAAGATTAAAATAGATAGGAAACTATAGACTGACTACATCTTCATTATATCTTAGATATGAACAAATAGGACCCCAATGAATATTGGATGAGAATAAAAATTGTTTCCATTTATATAAATTTGAAAATATACAATCCAAAATGATGGTGAATACGGTAAATTGTCTCACTCAAATAATCTCCTGTGTGTTGTCTTTCAGTACACACACTGGAAAGCTAAAAGCATATATAGGATTTAATATCTAATTCTGCTTCTGCAGTTAAATGCACTCCTGTGTGAACTGAATTCACTATTAAAGTGTAGAAAAATTAAACAATGGTAGAGGTATCTATACTGCCAGTGAATGATTATCAGGCGTCACATAGCTTTGGAACAGAAAGTTCTGGCAGCAGATTCATTAAGTCCCTGATTCTAGCCAAAGCAGTGTGCTCCTGGTGCCATCAGTTCTGGTAGAAGCTGATATCCAGAAATGAGTTAGGTGCAGTGCTCTGGATGCAACATTGCAGCCAGGTCCAGGAAGGGGAACATGTTTGAAAATTCCCCAAATCTACCCCTAGATATGTATCCTAGATCTGCTGTTTTAAACACTTGTCATATGATGATGTGCATTCAAAATGGCATTCTGTGTAAATGAATGAGGCTGCCAATCATGAGAGGAAATCAATACTATTAAAAATATTAACCATAGGGTTGAGTGAATAATACTCAGGGCTGTAACCAAGTCATGGCACACTGGTTAGAAAACGTTACCAATACACACAAGAGATTTATACTTGGAATTCTCATTGCAGAATTACTTGTTACTAATAAATATTTGCAAACAAACTGCATGCCCAACAACAAGTGAATTAATAAAATAGAGGATTTTATACAGTATAATCCTTTAGCATTTGGTGAATAAACTAGAGCTATACATGTCAATCAAATAGAAGATGACTGCAAAGAAATATACAGTACGTTGTCTTGGTTTTAAGATATTACACCTACCAAAATAATGTATGATTTATAAATTCATAAATATGTGATGAGATTATTTTTGAAAAACATATATGCAAATACAAAACTGCACATACAAAATAGTGGTTATGGGCTGGGAGCAGTGGCTCTCACCTGTAATCCCAGCACTTTGGGGGGGCCGAGGTGGGCGTATCACTTGAGGTCAGGAGTTTGAGACCAGCCTGGCCAACATGGTGAAACCCCATCTCTACTAAAAATACAAAAAACAGTCGGGTGTGGTGGCATACACCTGTAGTTCCAGCTACTCCGGAGATTGAAGGCAGGAGAATAGCTTGAACCCAGGAGGCAGACAGAGGTTGTGGTGAGCCGAGATCACACCACTGCACTCCAACCTGGGAGACAGAGCGAGACTGCATCTCAAAATAAATAAATTAATTAATTAAAATAGTGGTTACATCTGGAAAGAAACAAATGGAATTATTATACACCTACTATGTACCCACAAAAATTTTTTAATGAAAAAACAGAGGAATCAGATTAAGAAGAAGGCATCAATGTATCCTTTATATTTGTGTCTTTTAAATATTCTACAGGAAGTGTTGCAAAATACTAAGATGATGTTTAGTCTAGGGGCTGGGACATCAGTGTTTTAATATATTTTAAAATTAAAAATAACCTATGGTACAAAAGGAATTTGTTGGATCATGAAATGATATTGCTAGCATCTGCCTGGACCCTATCTCTGGTTCTTGGTGATTCTTCCAGTGAGGATATTCCTCTGTTGGTTTTGTCTTCTCTCATTATTTCTAAATTATATCCAGGAGCAAGCACAGCTATGTGGTCCCTTACTTATATACAAAGGGGAGATCATTTCTCGCCAATCAGTCACCAAATTAAATTCCTGATTTTCTTTGCGAGTGGAAAATCTAAGACAATTACTGGCATGCGGAATAGTGTGTGCTGGTTAATCGCAGGCTTCCCACTGTATTTCTCCCTTTCAGTCACTATAGGAGGAGGAAGAGATGGCACTAATGGGCTTATGCTAACCTCTGCTAAACCTCAGAGTTTGGAGGAACATTAATACCACCAAAATCTCAGGGCTCTAAATAGAGAAAATGTGAAATTCATTAAGGAAAATATGGGTGTTTTCCAGGAGATGGAATGGGGGGACAGGAGGCTAGATAAGCAAGCAGTGACTGAATGTCTACACCAAGTGTGGATCCTCAGGGTATTAGAACATGCTAGTATCTGGGTCAGTGTTCTGAGAGTGTGGCCCCTGGACCAATAGCATTAGCATCGCCTGGAACCCTGTTAGAAATGTAAGATCTCATGTTATAACCCCAACCTACTGAATCGGAGTGGCTGGGCCCAACCAGCTTTCCAGGAGATTCTGATGCCCACTAAAGATTGACAGTCCCAGTTCTCCTGTAGGGACATGGATGCAGCTGGAAACCATCATTCTCAACAAACTATCGCAAGAACAGAAAACCAAACACTGCATGTTCTCACTCATAGGTGGGAACTGAACAATGAGATCACTTGGATTCAGGAAGGGGAACATCACACACCGGGGCCTATCACGGGGAGGGGGGAGGGGGGAGGGATTGCATTGGGAGTTATACCTGATGTAAATGACGAGTTGATGGGTGCTGACAAGTTGATGGGTGCAGCACACCAACATGGCACAAGTATACATATGTAACAAATCTGCACGTTATGCACATGTACCCTAGAACTTAAAGTATAAAAAAAAAAAAAAAAGAAATAGCTCAAAAAAAAAAAAAAAAAGATTGACAGTCCCTTCTCCAGGCCCTTATAACCACACATATCTCATATTGTGAGTACCTCACTTTGCTGCATGGAATACTACTGTTCAAAAAAATGCATTTTCGGCTATACAGCCATGTACATCATGTATATTTTATTTTCAGGAAAATAAAGAGAGGATTTTAGAAGGTAAATTTGACTACATGTCAAGTTCACCAACATGCTGGCTTCAGAACCTGCACGGGAAGATAACATCTCACTACATATACAATATTAATAACTCAAATCTGGAATGTATCTAGGTTTCTTGTATTTCTTTTTATCTTACCTTCTTTTGTGATATTATGAGTTGCTTCAATCCTAGGTTTCTTGTGACTCATTATTTTCCATGTTCTGGAATGGAAAACAAAAACTTGTTAATTTTGATAAAGTCAATTTTTATTTTCTTGCTTGTGAAACAAAATTTTTAAAGTTAATTTTGATAAAGTCAAATTTTTCTCTTGTTGTTAATGCTTTTGGTGTCACAGCTCAGATTTTATGGCCAAATAGATATTCATGATGATTTCTCCCCATGTTTTCCTCTTTATCCCCATGAATAGTTTCATGGTTCCCACTCTTATATTTAGGCCTTTGATCTATTTTGAGTTATTTTTTGTACATGGTATGACATAAAAGCAGTTCAACTTATTCTTTTGTTTTCAGAAACACACTTGTCCTTGCATTATTTGTTGAAGAGACATTTTTTTCCTCTTGAATGGTCTTGGCACTTTTTTTGAAAATCAATTGAACAAAGATGTTTGCTTTTACTTCTGGACTCTCAGTTCTATTCCATTAGTCTCTATGTGTATCTTTATGCCCACACCACACTGGTTTAATTATTGTAGCTTTATAGTAGTTTTGAAATAAAAAACTGTATGTCCTTCACCTTTGTTGTTTTCTATGTCATTTTGGCTATTTGGACTCTCTTACAATATTACATGAATTTGACAATTTGCTCTTAATATTATTCTTAAAAAAGGGTTGTTGAAACTTTGGTAGGGATTGCATTTTACTTGTACTTTAAGTTGTTTTCACACCTTAGTAATATTAAATGTTCCAATCTATGGATAAGGGATGTCTTTCCTTTTAGTTGAGCTTTCTATATGCTGTATTTCTAATTAAGAAATTTATTTTAGGTAGAATTAATGGTGTACATTTATATGATAAAATAACTTATATTAAGGTAACAAGATTATATTTCTAAAACCATTACTTTATTATTGGCTTTTAGAAATTCTATTAATAACTGAATATATGTTGAAAAATAATGTTTTTTTTTTTTGTTTTTTTGTTTTTACCAGGAGACATTGGCTAATATGCTGGAACTATGATCAATTTACATGTAGCCATCTGTACTAGTGGAGACCTGATATATTTGCAATTTTTTTCCATGATATTTAAACATTATGCATTTTTTCATACAACAAAGAACAAACTCACTGAATCACTCTTTAATTCATCTCTATTTCAAAGTAATTCAATTATTCTGTGGCTTTTACTGAAGTGGAATGCATAATTAATTGAAAACATGCCATTGAGTTTACACCACCAGAAAGGAAACAACTGCTTCCTATTTCAATGTTAAGATTCACCTTACAATTGTAAGCTGATTTCCAATGAGGTAGAAATGATGATTCTCTTAAGGAGAAGAAAATCCTTCATAAATTATGGAACAGTGTAAAAGGGACAGGAAATCGCAACACAAGCTAAAAATCATTAAATAATAACATTCTAATTCTCACAAAAATTTGCCTGATTTTGACATGAAAAAAATAGGAGTTAGAATTATTCTATTAAGTCAAACTTTTTTTAGTTTCAAAGGAATCTAGTGTGCTACTTTAAGATAAGGAATTTCATTGAGGCTTGGAAATTGACATTAAAATAATAAAAATTGGCACATTTGAGGAAAAAGCCTTGAAATCAGCAGAAAAAAAAATAGATGTGCTTCATAAAGGGAGGTATATCTGCTTGAGGATCAGCAATGATTTTTCCAGGGGAGAAAAAATAATAGTCATTACTTTTTATGATTTCATGTTAGTTTTTCATATTACCATAAACATTCCTCAAACTACAATTTTGGCTCTGCTTTTTAGACTTACATGGAAAATTATTTCTATTAAATAATTAGGAAGTTTTTCATGTTAAGTAGAGTTGCTACTTCCCAATCTTTAATCCAATGGGTATATACAGAGCACAGAATATGGGCCACATGGTGCTCAAGGTTTTGGGATACTCATCCTCAAAAAGAAACATCTGCCTTCTCAGGGTTTTCTAGGGCAAAAACAAGGATCCTGCAACCAAACAAAATGAATAATATCACTTCAAATATTAACAAGGGCCACACATTGATAAATCAATCATATGATATAGATGGTCTAGAGAGTGTAGGTGAAATTATACAGGATTTATAAGAAAGATCGACCTATCAAGGTGATAACTCAGTCATTAAAAAGGTAAATTAAAAGATAGGGGGGAACGAATTTCGTGAAAAGGGAACAGAACGTGAAATGTGTATAGATTTGAGTCGGCCTTGTTTGAAGAAATAAAAGAATGTTGCAGTATTTGCCATACAGAGAGAAAGGAGAGAAATGACACAAGACAGGATCAAATCTTGCACAGCTTATTAGTGGATGGTTGGTTTCTGTTGGTGATGGTGGTGGTGATGTTTTGTCTACCCTATGTCCAAATTCTGCCTTCTCCTCTGGGAAACTCCCTATACCCTGGCAGCAAATAGGGGCATATTACTTAAGCTCAGACGATGCTTTTAGAAAAGGATTGGAGCATTGGGCAAATATTTAGTAAATTTAAAAAGGATGTGCAATTTATCTCAAAGCATTACTCTAGTGGCAGGAGCCTCAAAATCTAGAGTCAAGAATAGGAGCGTTCATGGAAGCTGCTAAGTAGGGGGAGAGGTGTCAGACTATCTATGCTGGACAACCTTGGAAGTGGTTCCTGCACCAGAATCTTTTGGTTACATCAGTTCTCCAAGCTTGGTACTCTAGATCTTGCTTTCTACCTAAGCACTTATCCTGTTGATTTTTTGAAAACTTAAGTTAACTAGAATCCGTTTCTATTACATGCAGCCCCAAATTCTTAGACATTGTTATAGAATATTCTTTACTAGGATCAATTTCTTCTTAATATTCTTTTCTTTCCTAGCATCTACAATAATTGTCTCTATGATCGTTTATCATTTCCCCAATGTTCTAATTATCTTCACACCTTAATGTCTGCACCTGGTCTTCTCTATGTCTACCTGTGAACAATGCTCTTCCAGAAATCCTTCCTGGCCTCTACCAAACAAAGTCAATTCCATTTTCTGTGCTCCCTCCATATTTTATTGGTAGTATAGTCCATGTTATGCTATATTTAATAAACTAATGGAACTTCTCAGTGGTTTGCCTACTTTCAGAAACTCCACAGTAAATCATGGTTATGGCCCAAGACACTGCTCCACGTTATGACATCCAAGCGATTTTGAGCTTGTGATCCCATAGGAGACTTCCGTATTGCCCCTGCAGAGGAAGAGAGAAACTGGAGGATGGCACAGCAGATTTTACAGCTTTAACCTTGGAGTGGTCTGCTTCTATCTGGCCCACATTTAACTGGACAGATTAATATTCAAATGGCCTTGGACAATTGCAAGAAGTTGGGGAGGAGAGTTTTCAGGACGCTCATGGAATAGGCATATGAGAATTTGATGAAAACATAACATCGTTTTGGACTCATGTATCCTGTTTTCACCTAGTTTTGTATATATAACATTGTACTATAATTTATTCACTTACAAGTTGGTGTGTATCTTCACTATGCATTGGTCCTTAAGAGTAGGGACTATTACTTATTCCCCTCTGAAGCCTCAGTACTGAGTAACGTGCTTGTCTCTCAGTACACACTGTTAATGTTTATGGAATGAGAAGGTGATAAATGGATGTTATTTCTCCATAATAATTTTCTCTGTATTATAATTCCATGATACAGTATTAGCCACCATTCACTGAATATTAAGCATCAAAGTGCTCTGGAGTACTGTTTCCATCAACAGAGTGGGTTAAATTCTCTGGGGGCTTTCCTGCTACCTAAAATCTGCATAAAACACAAATTATGCTTCATTTCTAGACTGCAGGATATAATCGAAAAACACTACAAATCAAAAGAGAGAGAGAGAGATTAAAAGCATGAGCTTGAACCTAAGTGGTGAGCACTGAAAGCAAACAGAATTTAGTTATGTGGATAGAAATAAAATCAGTATTGCTCTGGGGCCATGGGGCTTTTCCCCACATTAGTAAGGGAGATCTTGAACCTGGCACTCACATACAAAATGAAGAGTTGGCATGGGATAGTTGGGGTCCAAATCTGAAGTTATTTAGGCTCCGGGCACATCAAATTTAATCACTGTCCACAGAAAAGCATCCTTCTACTTGTCTTCAGAGTCTGCAAATAACACTATCAACCACATACAACTCATAATCAAATAAGACCAAAGAAACAATGAACAAACACCTTCACTGAGAAGTGGCAGAGTCAACAGAAAGTAGATTTAGGCCAAAAATGACCTGCTGGTAAGTATGTGAGCTGTATCCAGATGGATAATAACTTCCAGTTATCCTCCCTTAGTTGCTCAATTCATTTTTAAATTATAAACGGATTTTAATAAATACCAAAACTGACACATGTGAGAAATGTCATACTTTTTTCTCACATTTGTACTTCTATCAAATAATTTTTGTAAAAATAGAATGCATAGAGTATTTAATGTCACGGTTTATATTAGCATTTCTCAAACCGTGCAAAGACTTTTTCATATGTTATATTTAAAATACATTTAAAATAGGTAAAGTGACATAATATAATTATTATACTAAAACGTAAAAGCCTTTTTTTCTAACGTGACCCTGTATTCCTGATATTACCTTATTTATCTCTATTGATTCCCAAACATAATTTCATTTATATTCTGGTTTTGCCTAGTATTTGTTAAGATGATCCTATTATTTTAAAAATGGTAAGACAATATTTAAAGTTGCAAATTTTGACTTATTATATTCCCAACATAATTCCCAGTAAATTTAATTACTATATCATATTACACAGAAAGAGTTAACATAGCAACCCTGAAAATATTATCCTTAGAAAGCCTTGCTTGCATTGCTGCCTCTTGGTTGGCATTTAGAAACATGGATTTCAAGAGTGTTTCCACATGTGTCAAAGTTCTGTGCATTTTAAATAAGAATAAAGTGTCTCAATGTGCCTAAACAGTTTGTGCATACAACATAATTTATACTGAACACCTGCTTCCCTACTTGGAAAATAGAAACTTAATATATGATAGAGAGAGGTATTCCCACAAACCC